ATTTATATAGCGTCTACTATAATTTCTCGTATTCTTTGGAGAATATAAATGAACATACCTATTGGTTTTATTGCTGATGAAAGAACTTTTTGAAGTTTTTTTAAGATGTTAACAATTATAGGAATAATTATTTATTTAGTTAGAAATTATGATATAATAATAATGATAATAATATAATTTGTATTATTAATTTTTTGTTTGTCATAAAATCAGAAGTCAGCGAATCAAATGTTTTACAATTTATTTTACAGTTTGATAGTTCTTTTTTATTTATACACATACATTCAAAAGCCATCCATCGACCAAATAATATATATGTCTATGAATATATATAAATAATGTATATGTCTGTCTGTGTTTGTCTGTCTGTCTGCCTGTGTTTTATCTTTGCCTACAAAAGCGTGTCTTACAGTTTATTTCATTTCCAATACATGTTATTTATGGAGACAAATTGGTGGACGTTAATATACGCACTACACTATAATAATATAGTTGCCATTTTAATTTATACACTTTGACTCAACTAGATTTCGAAATGTTTGATTTTTAACTTCTTCACAAGTTTTATCTCCATCATGTTTTGTTTCTTTATTAATTATTTTATCAAACAAACAGTGTTTATAGGAATCACGTTTAATTGTTATACATACAAATATTGTTATTATGTGTAAGACGTTAAGAGAGTTCAATGAATTCTTTTATTTATTGCTTCAATTTCAATTCAATAGTTATATTGTTGTAAAGAAAAAACAATGAACTTGTCAATAAATTCATTTATTAATCGAAACAACACGTCTTCTTTTCTCAATTTCCAACTCTTACTTACTTACAATTGAAAATGATGTAATTTAGGTCTTTGGTGTCAATTAGACCGTTTATATTTATAACTCGACGCCATAATCGGTTCTAGTTTTAGGTTCCTATACGATAGAAGCTTTGTGTAGTTTTAAACTCACAATCTACCTAGCAACATTAGCACGAAATCTATATACAAGGCATACAAAGTTAATTTTTGTAACAAAAACGAGCAAAAAATGACTGTTAGTAGTCGTAATAATAATCATTGAAGCCTGGTTTCTCTCTGCTTGTTGAGTAGCCCTGATACTTTCTTTTATACTTCAGACTGCTGACGATTGTATTCGAGCCCGGGAATGCTGTCCTTCCCTCAAACATGGTATCTTTCTCAGGGTGGAATCTCAGTGGTTCAAGTTGGATGTGCAAATTTTTAGGCAGTTCTGTCTGAAGTAGAATTGAAATTGAATATTTTTATTGGTTTGGGGCTTGAAAAATGTTTTATCAGAATTAGGAAAGAGTATATTTCAATGATGAAACAAAAAAAAAACATCAGAAAAGCAGTCTTAATTGAGAATCCAATAATTTGCTTGGTTAAAAAAAGTATTTCATCTCAGAATTCAGTGTTCAAAAGCAGTAATATTTATATATTTTAGGAGTGCAGGCGTTGTAAAAATGAAAATACAGACCAGTTAAATCAAAAAGTAAATTATTCATATAGAATATTTGACAAAAACTTTTAGGCTTTTAGGCTAATAAATAAAATAAGTTAGGTAAAATGTTAAATTTTGCCAAAAAATGAAATAATTTAATATTTATTTATCACTTTTTTGCCAGAAGCCAAATCCTCATATGTTGACGTTTCTTTAACTTCAGTGCTAAAGTATTCAACAGCATCAGACAGAGTCTTCATGTTGTTCAGCTCGTTGTTTGATATATCGTGGTTGAATTCTTTTATAAGGCTTGACAATATCTGAAGATTTTGAAAAGAATTTGGTGATAAAAAAATGAATAAATTGTAATAATGATTGAATAAATATCAAATGATTATCAAAAATCAAAATGATACTTCAATCGAAATACCTGGAATTTTAAGCTGTGGTTGTTGAGTGGTAGATTCTTCCAATCAGTAGATAAACCATCATCCCTTTGTCTGATGACTTTCTCAATGATTTCTTCAACATTTTCAGGAGGCTTATAACCTTTTTTCGTTGTCAAACTCCTATTTTTTTTAGAAAAAAAAACAGAAATTTTATATTTGGAAACAGAATAATGAAAAAAACAAGCATTCAAATTACAGCCAAGTTAACACTGGCTAACACTGGCTAATAATATATGGATATAAGATATATATATATTAATATTAATACATACATAATATTATATTATATTATACACATTATAATTATATTATAATAAAAATAATATAAAATTATAACACTAACATATTCTTTTTCAACATTCCCATGTTATAATTGATTGATCCCAGGCTCTCTTTATCCAGGTTCAATTGTTTTTCTTCAGATGTTAACGAGGCCTTATCTTTTTTTTCAACGACTTCGCTTTTTTTACTTCTACCAAATAGACATTTTCTGCTATACTTTGTGCAAGTCTTTGTAGTAAATTAAATAGACTAATTTATTATTTTATTCAAGTGACTAATTTTTAAATAAAATAAGATCATGATGTGTTTTAAATTAATTATAAAAACTAAGAGTCTTTATTAAAGATTTTCTCTATGTGTATTTCTATTACTATTACATATTACCTTCTTTCAACAAATATATTGAAAATGAATAAATAAATACATCAATCCATTTTGAAATCACTAATCTAATGACTAATCTCTGGCAATAAATACTACTAATATAAAATATACTAACCAATCAATCCATCAACCACTAATTATATTTTTAAATCAAATTCAAATCTAAATCTGGCATGGACTTGCATTATAAATAATTATTGTATTTAAATTTTAAAATTATAAAACTTTAATAAATGTTACAATCGTCCTTGTTAAAAATGCTTACAAACCTGTAACTTTAGCAGACTGTTTCTCGTTGTTACATATTTAGAACAAAACATTCTTCAATTAAAAAAAAACTTTTTAAAAAATAAATGAACCTATTATCGCGCGCACTGACTAAGCCAAAGATATTCTAGTAAAACATAGAAAGTTAAACAGCGGTTGAAAAAAAATTTATTGGAACCATGTATAATGAAACATTTCGTCCATGATTATACATTTTTTGTCAACTGCTAACATATTTTTCTCTAGTAACATTCACCCCACACTCACACACATTTTAAAATATATATAACATCCACACCACACACACTCACACACCACACAAACACTCACTCATACATACATACACACACAAACAAACAAACACACAAAAATACGTTTTGTATGTAACATCCACACCACAACACACTACACCACACCACACACACACACAAGCGTCGTCAAGTATTTAGAGTAGTTAATTACCCAAGTAGGATTTGAATACTTAAATTCGGTGTTTAAAAATTTGTAAAGGGTTTAATTAATAGTCAAAATTATTATATTATTATTATTATGGTTATTAAATTACAAGTGTTAATATTAAATTGTTGAAGCGATTTTGTATCACTGTGTTATTATAAAGCTTATATATATATAGAAATGTTTGATTTAGAAAACGCCTTAAAACGCGTAAAATTTTTATCGTCCGCATCATGTATGACATTACGTCAACTTTCACATTGGACACGGTTTCAAAGTCATCTTAGAATTGGAAACATACTTCCATCCGTAAATCTCTCGTGATTCTGGATCTAATTGTACGTGTGTCTTTGTATATAAATATGTTTGTGTGTGTGCGTGTGCGTGTTAATATGTGTTTGTGTGTGTGTGTGTTCATGTATTTTCCAAAAATTTCTTGTACTGTAAGAAAAGTGCCGCTGAGTAAGTAGGTGTTGATGATTGCACTTCAAATATTTTCTATTGTACGTTCTACCCCGTTCTACTTATTTCTTGTATATACATTATATACAATATTATACAATATATACTTATACAATATATAATATATACAATAATATACAATATATAATATATACAATAATATACAATATATAATATATACGATATGTTTTTTTATTTTTAGTTTTTTCTACTTGTAAGTGCTATTGCTACTTGTAAGTGAAAACTTTTTGTTTTAAAAAGAAAGCGCCTTATAAATTTTCATATAATAATAACAATATATATATATATATATATATATATATATATATATATGTGTGTGTGTGTGTGTGTATGTGTGTATGTATATTTCCGAGTATGTATGTGTGTGTGTGTGTGTGTGTGTGTGTGTGGGTGTGTGTGTGTGTGTGTGTGTGTGTGTACGTACATATACATAGTATAAAACATAGTTACGTTTATATAGTTAATTTATAAATTCTTCCTATATATAACCTTAGATAACACTCATGTTTAAATCAGTCTATGTATTTTGATCATAGAGATATCGGTACAGAGAAGGTACATACGCGCGGGATATAAAAGAACGTTAATACCTTTTCAAGAAATTACTCGGCGGGAATTTTCCTCAACATTTAAAGATCGGAATTGTGAAATTATTAAAAATTGTCCTCACAGTTTTGTAGATAAAAACTTGTAAAATGTCGGCGACGAAAGTTACAACGGAAGCCACACCTCCTACCTGCGACAATCCTCCAAAGTACACAGACCATCCAGAAATAGGATTTCAAAATCAACAGTCTTATTTCACCTACAGCCAACAACAACAACAACAACAACATCCATATTTTATCCAAACACAGCAATATACTTATCATCCAAATTATCACTCCCAACAACAACAAACTATCCTGCCTCAACCCGGTTCGAATGCAAGCGCAGTCGTCATTCAGATTGGTGATCCAACTCGAGATGTCTATCTTTGTGGCAGTCCGTGTTGTAATTTCACCGGAGCCATCGTTTACTCTTGTATCATTTTCTGGTGCTGCGGTTGGTTGTCTGGCATGCTGGCTTTCGTAATGGCCAGTAAGTTATTTCGTGATGTCTTTCATTCATTCATTCATTGTGTGTGTGTGTTTGTGTGCGTGGCGTGTGCGTGCGATGTTTTTCTATAGAAGATTTTCGATAATGATGTTCTGATTGTTCGTTAAGAATCTATCGCATAATTGGACAATCTATAAATCAATCAATCAATCAATCAATTGAACTAACTAATCAATCAATTAAATAATCAATCAATCAATTAAATAATCAATCAATCAATCAATTAACCAACCAACCAACCAATAAACCAATTAGCAACAGGACAAACAGCGGCGGCCAATGGGGACTACACCTCAGCGAGACGTCGTCTTATTCTATCGCACGTGTTCTCAACAATAGGATTAGTGATGGGCATCATTTTAATTACTTACGTAATTGTCTCATTCACCATTTAAACTATTAATTGATTAATTAGATGATTAATTGATTGTTAGGTGATTACAGGAATACATTTTTTAAACCAATTAACTGATTTAACTTGATCATTTACAAGTTCAAATTAAGCTATTTGAATGGTTTTGACTTTTCTAATGTTACATTTTTTATATTTCATTCTCATTCAAGTAGTTAA